CTACTATAGACTACTACTTTTACTACTACTAGTACACTATACTACTACTACTACTACTACTACTACTACTACTACTAGTACTACTACTACTACTACTACTACTACTACTACTACTACTACTAGACTAGTACTTGTACTAGCGCGAGTACTAGCACCAGTGCTACCACTAGTGCTACGACAGTTGCAGAAACCCCTGATAGCCAGCGTAAGCGTTGTCATCATCATCAACATCCTCATCCCTGGTGTCCTCATCGTCAGCAGCAACATCAAGATCATCAGCATCAGCAACATCATTATCCTCATCACCATCTCACCGTCACCGACTACAAAAGCAACGCATACAGCAGCATTGCAAACGTAATCGGTGACAGCAGAGGTCTGCCTCAGCATTGTCACCGGAAGGGAAAATGCTCCGCACGGCCTCCACATAGTTGGCCTCCGTTAGCTGTTAGCTTCTTGAGGTAAGAGTCAGCACCCAGAAAACGGATCCAGGAACATGATGCAGCTTGACTGTCACAAATTTGTTGGCAGGATCTTCACAGTACAGATGACATTTCCCAAGAGCCCGACTTCGTACCATCGAAACGTGATGGGCAGCTTGTCGGGGTCCATCCCGGCGCGGTCCCTGCACCATTTGGCCACGTATCTTTCCTGACCATAGCTTGCTGGGAAATCCGGAGGCCGAAGCCAAGCCCCAAACCTCTTTCTGCACTAGCGGTCCTGTTCTTCAACGCTGCGGAAAGAGACTCCCTCTGGGAAAAGGATTGCCTGCAAGCGCACACGAAGCAACAATTCAGGCCAAACCAGTGCAGCAAAAGAAGGACAGTGGCGGACTCTGCGTTTTCTGCCTCGCGACACCCAGCCGCAGAGTGAAACATGCTGAACGCGTTTGCTTGAGAGCTCCTCGCCTTCTGCAAGGAGTGACAGCTCCAAAGGAAGCGGGGGTTGGTTCGCAAAACTCGTCAGCAAGGGCACCTCAAGCAACTGTCAGCACCTGGATTCCTGGCTTTGATTCCCTTCAGGACGAAAGGCTCTTCAAAGGCAGCTCTCAGCAGGAAAATCTGAGCTGAGAGATGTAAATCGGACTCACTGACAGCCTTCCAAAGCAAACCTTTGAAAGAAATCTGCCTCTGTACAATTCCCAAACAAGTCGGATCCGTGGTATGCAGAGGATACATGGTGCAAACGTCTGCACAGTTCTGGAGCTACTTCTGCTTGCTCAGGACTTCAGCAATCTTCCTGGAAACGATGCCAGGTGGGTCCCACTCTGGACCCATCATCGCCTCGGGGGCAGCCGGGGATTTCACAGCGCACGATCCCACTCCTCATTGACAGTCATCGCAGACCGAAGTAGTTGTTTGGGAAGCCTCGATTTCTTGTAGATGAAACCAACTTGCAGGCTGTTTGAAACAAACCTAACTTACAAGTAATTAGTGAAGGTTGGGTCTTTGCCCCTGCAAAACTCTCCAAGTTCGAGGCTGCTTTTCCCATCATGGCATTTCGCATCATCACCTGCCATGCGACTGCAACCCCGCAGGTCGGGGGGTAAGGTTGGGCGGAGAGGTGACTTTTCGAGTATCAGCGACCCTTTTCCGTTGCTGCGGGTGCTGCACCCGCCTCAGTGACGTCGAGGTTCTGATTCTGCGTCATTGCATTGAAGCCTCGGGTTTTGATGAAGGGGGTGCACAAAGGCGAAGCCCAGCGTGCAGAACTCGCCCTAACGTCGAATGCTACAACTGACCACCCTTCGGTTGCATCTCATCAACCTGAAACAGTCTTGCAGGCAGGAGGCTGTCTCTCGCCTTAGGTGGAGCCCAATTGCACTCTAACTGCTTCTGGCTTTAAAGAAGGGGCATACACTGCACTGGTCCCGCATGACCCCGTGAACTAGTCCTTGGGACAGCATGGACATCCCAAAACGACTGTGCATCGACTGCAACCCAAGGACCAGCGACGGCTCCTTCGGCTGCCAGGACAGTGGGGCTCTTTTTGGCACCTCCAGCACGCATGAACTATTCCTGTTGCCGTGCCGTCAGCGGCGGTGCCTTGCCAGTGTCGAAGGCATTGGACGCCTGTCAAGGGACAAAAACTTCGACGATGCACCTTCCTATTTACAAGCGCAGGTCAGGCTCACAGCCGGCCTTCCCCGTCTGTGGTGCCGCCGCTGCTGTGCCCGCAGCAAGCAGTGCAGCGCTGGGCGCCCGCCCTCAGGCTTTGTGCCGAAGTCGTGCTTGACGGGTCAGCCCCTCTCTCAGGATCTGACTGGGCAGCATGCTGCGCCACGGCGTCTCGCGGGCGAGCCTCAGCTCGAAAGGGCTGGGAAGCACGAGCTAATCGAGCCACAAGACCTGGGACAGCACATCACAGAACGCCCAGAAGAGCTCTCCTGAAAACTTAGATGGTTAGATGAAGAAACTGTTTGTCACCCGCAGCGTTGGAGGTGAAGATCTTGGAGTTGCCCGTGCACTTTGCCACAGTCACCTCCATACTCAGGGTCGCCCCAACAAACGACTTGGCCACTCGCACAAATCGCTGCGAACGCCTTCTGCGATCCCTTGATCTGTCGCACATTCTGAAGCTGTTCCTTCACACTGCTGCTGTCACCGCCTGACCCAGCTTCACCCCAGGTGACAACGCGACCGTTGTCAAGCAACGCCGCAAAAGCCTTTAGAGAGGAATCGATCTGCACAACACCTCTCAGGTCTGATTGTACGGCCCCGGAATCACCACCAGAAAACTTGTCGCCCCAGGTCACGACCCGACCATCCTTCCGAATTGCCGCAAAGGCACGGCCAGAACCCTGCACTTCACACACATTCTGCAAGTCCATCTGCACCTTGCTGCTGTCACCGCCATAGTACCGGGCACCCCAAGTCACCACACGGCCATTCTGAAGGATGGCTGCAAAAGCTCCACCGGATGCACGGATACTCTGCACGTCGACCAGTTCCGTTTCGACGGGGCCGCTGTCACCCCCGAAATACGGATGCCCCCAGGAAATCACTCGGCCATCTGCAAGCAGTGCGGCAAACGCCCCAGAAGAGCCGATGACTTGGTGCACATGCTGCAGCTGGTCTTTCACAGCATCGCTGCAGCCACCCAGATCCTTTCGCCCCCAAGTCAAAAGTCGTCCACTCTCGCAGATGGCGGCAAAGGCCCGCTCGGTCGATTCAATGTGAGTTGCCCTGAACCCCCTGAGTTCTTGTTCTATGACCTCATCACATCTGCCCCCGAAATACTCATCGCCCCATACCACCACGCGGCCGTCCCGCAAAATCGCAGAAAAAGCTCCGTCCGAAGCACAGAGCTTCTCAACGTCACGTAGCTGAGTCTCCACGGTTCGGGCGTTGGTGCTGCCCCCAAATTCCTCGTGACCCCAACACACGACGCTTCCGGAGGCAAGAATCGCAGCGAATGCCCTCCCTGTTGTCCTCACCTCCTTCACGTTCTGCAGCCGATGCTGGACTGCAGAACTATTGCCGCCAGCGTCCGGGCTACCCCATGTTATCACGGATCCATCGGAGCGGATGAGAGCGAAGGCCTTGGCGGTGTGACTGGACACCAGGGAAGCTTGTCGGGCCGTTGCATGGACCGTGAGGATGTCAGCGTCACCGCCGCCCTCCGCGCCTTCCCACACGCCGAGGCCCCTCTCCTTCAGTTCCTGGAGTGTCAATTGAGAGTCCAGGAGCTGGCCGCAGGCGCTCAGGCTGCCAATGCCAATCCGGAGTTCTTCTCTCACCCACTCTTTCAAGCCTTCGACGCTGCAGTCCGATGATACATCCAGAGAGGCCGTCTGTCCACTCAGCAAGACAACGTGTACGAGAACCATGGAGAAGCCAGGAGTCCATGGCGATGGGAAAGTTGTCAAAAGTACAAACCTGCCAAACGATCTGACAAGCTACTCAGAACTAGGAACCCCTCCCCCAAGCGGTCCGAAATCTCACCTTCGCAACCCTTCGACTGCAAGTTTTACATCTTCTTTTTTGGAGGCCTGAGGGTCCTGGACTAAGGGCTTTCCTGGACCCTGACGTGCATGAACATCTTTTGGAGAAGCTACGTTATTGTGAGCTTCTGCGCATTTTGCAAGATTACTTGCTTAGTGTCACGAGTCTTTGAGCGAAGTTGATCAGCTTTACTTTACACACGACCCCTGAGGCTAGCACAAAAACAACGAACGATACTGACCCTTTCGGGAACTACATCAATGCCAGACTTGGCCCGAAGAGTCTATCGGAGTCTATCGACCGTGGCCTTTTTCGTGAAACTCCTTGCTATAGGACGGCTCTTGGAACAGGTCTGACTTGTAGGGACGTGCCTTACTGTTGACTCTGAAATTCTGAGTTCTAGCTTGTGGCCACGAAGTGTATGTGATTCCCATGATCGCTTGGATCCTGACAGGCGTGGTTCGGAGTGGCTCTGCGCCGGCCGCCGTGACTCCTGCAAAGCTCAACACACCGGAACCTGTCGTCGCTTTTGACTCGCAACAGACTCCTCGGCGAGGCGAGTGATCCGGGGAGGCTCCTCGCAACTTCAGGCACTGGAAACATCCGAGCGGGGCCTTCAGAAGCATCGGCTTCCGCGCGGATTCCCCAGCCTTCTTTCCGGCCGCCTGAATGGCCTTCATGTACTGGGCCACCTTTACACCAGCAGGCGACGATTCCCTGAAGCAGCTGCCTCTACTGGCACGGGTCGGATACACCCTGTCGCTACACACTCCATGCATGAAAGGGTAGCAGGAGCAGAACATGGGAACTCTCGGAAGTGAACACACTTGGACTTGGCTTTGCAGTGATCCCTGGGCCCGAGGAAGCACTCGCCGGAAGCTGGTCGCCTCCCGGTGAGACTTTGCAGAATCGTCGTCCGGCCGGCGGCCTGGGAAAGCCACGACCGGAATGAAGTGAAGCATTGTGGCAGTGTAGGAGGCTGTTGAACGGGTCTTCCCTACCTTCAAATCGCTCGGCTCCATGCCGCCTTCTGTGAGGATCGAGGCAATCTTCCGAGACCTATGCTGTCTGCCGGGATGGGACTCATAAGCTTTGTCTACTATGGAAACAACTCTATTTTCTCTTTTGGGCAGCTTTTGGATGCGACATGAGACAACACGGCTCTTGCAGGGCCCCCGACACCATGCCAGGCGGTTCCCAGTTCGGACCCAGCTCGGAGCTTCGACCGATGGTCGCAGCCTTCATCATCTCCTTACGACGGTGCAGCACTCTTGCGAGCAGGTTCTCCCCGCTTCCCGTGCCTCTGTGACGTCCAGGCGGTTGTGAATTCCGCCAAGGATGGAGTTCAGGCCTCGGGGAACTGACTGGGAAACATGCGGCGAGAGGACCTACAAACAAAAGGGTGTTCGAAATGAGGATTCGCATGCTGGGCGCCAGTCTAGCTCGACCAAGAGATGCCTCACAGCAGGTGGCAGATTGAAGAAGTGACTTGGAAGCAGTGCAAGCGGGCGTCAGTAGCAGCTGTGATGTGTCGGTGTCTCAATAAACGGCTGATGTGAAGGAGTCTTGCGTGTCTTTGGGGCCGATGTCCCAGCAGCCTCAACGTCTCAAAGCTCCGAACGCGCTGCTGGCCTCGCCCGGGCTCCAATGAACCGTCGACTTGGACATGTTGCCTTTGATGAATTTGCGGTGGCGCGTCCAATCAAAGCGTGTCGCGCCATGCCTACACTTTCCAAGTATCTGAGCTGGAAGAGGGTCAAGCTGCCCAGGAGCAGCAAGTGGCAAAACGTGGTTTGGCTGCGAGGTATGTATGTATGTATGTATGTACGTATCCATGTACCTATGTATGTGTATGTGTATGTGTGTATATATACAGACAGGTATGTACAGTACGTATATTGTCTAGTGTTTTGCAACACGCATACCATATGCCACGGTCACGGTCATAAACTATATACTACATGTAATACAAGTTGTGGTGGCTTCCACCTTGGGTGTTGAAGATGATGGCAAGCATGTTGCCAAGAGTAAACTGGCACCACATCGCTGTCCGTGTGTGTGCTCCAGTTTTTCATGGTCATGTCACGAAGCCGGCCAGTACGCCGCTTGAGCAGTGCACGTGACATCAGGGAAACGTCTGCTGCCAGATTTGCCCGCATATCACATATCAGTTATTCCCGCGGCTAGGCTTGAACAACTCTTCATCTGCAGCCTGCTCCTCCTTCAGGCGCACCCATGGCATGACGAAGATGACTCCATGCCCGTTCCTGCGCGAAACTTGCAGCACATGTCCAAAGTCGCGATCTGAGCTCCAACGGCAAGCAGGGTGGTAGGATCCCCAATTGCTCCTGGCGAGGTGAAGGCTTCGTAGTAGTGGATTTATGGACGGCCCAGTCCTCTGAAATCACGTCACTACTATACAGCTTCTTCTTGAGGAAGCCAGCAATCCATTGCATGTTTATCCGAACGTCTGAGCAATGTGACGTCCACGGCAGCGCCGCCGTAGTGATGACTGTGACGTGCCTGCACATGCTTTCGAGCTGGGTAAAAGTCTGTAGAACAAAGAACTGTCCCTGAAACATACCCCGATGAACCGCAGAGTGCCGTGCCTTGCTCTGCTGCGCAAGTCTGAAGCTTCTGTACACCTGCAAGGCCGTGAATGTGATGACTCTCATGACAAGAGACTACACATATTGTAAGTCTGAGTGCTGTGTAGCATTCCTTGGATTCCCGTCGCGCGTGGTGCCTGGGAAAGGGCCCCAGCGAGTAGATCGGAAGGCCCTTCTGTGCATCCTCGGATGCGCGCAGCGAAAACTAGCGAAAATCTGCAGGCCTGAGGCCAAGGAGCAATCGGAGTTCGCCCGAGCTGCTGCACCAAGGAAGCACCGCCCTCCTCGCCCTCGCTAGACCTCTGGCAGCGTTGCGAGCCAGATCCTAAGCTTCGCATCTACGCTCCGGGCCTCGTCTCGGTGGTGCTTTGAGTCTCTTCGTTCAGCATCCCCATAAGCCAGCCTACGACCTTGGGCCGCGGCTCCGGCAGGTGCTTGATGGGTCGCTGTCATGCCATCAACCCGAATTCGTATCTCGTTCATAGCGAAGCGAGAAGCCACTCAGTGCCCTCGCAGAGTGTACAACGAACTCGTAGACAACCTCTGACTCCTCTGACTACTTGGCTTTGAAAAATGTGCCCGTTTCGTGTCTAGATGGAGCGAAGAAACTTTCGGGATTTTGCCGGGTCTGGATGGGTTCTTGCGATCAGGTCGCTGGTAGGGCCATCTTCGACTTCGACGCATTGCCAACATCTCACGCGTGACCCTGTTGGGGGATCCGGGTTCGCGCTCTGTGCCAGGGTGAACGTGAATACCCGCTAATCCCTCTGTTGTGTGCATCCCAACGGTGTCACTCAGCCACCCTTAAGTTGAAGCGAAGAACCACATATGCTGAAGGAAGGCCTTGTGCGTTTTGCAGCTGAGCAGCTCCTGAGATGAAGGCAATGGCAGACTTGATCGGGTTTTGCTCTTCTTCGCCGTCCTCGCTCCACGACAGATCTGGCATGCCAAACAATGCCGCGCAAGACAAGACTCCGGGGGCACCTCCCCAGAAGCAGCAAGTCGCACCTTGGCGGAGCAGACTCTCGCATGTAAGACCTGTCACTGATGCAAGGGACCGTCCTTCCAGTCTTCCTGGCAAGGCTCAGCTCGAAGCCATTCGCCATGGAACTCTCTGCCGCAGCCGTCGATGTCTCCTCTGTTGGGATTTGCCACAGCTCGACGCATCAGCCCACAGCCGCCAGCCTCTGGCGAATCGCCGCCGCAAGAGGCAGCGCCGCTGCTCCAAGAGCTCCCTGGCCTTGGAGCAGCCAAGGGCCAAGGCTGCAGAGCTCACGGCACGTCTCAGCCGTCTTCGGCCGAGCCGGGCCTGGGAGGCTCCGCTTCTTTGGCCGCGGGGCCTCGGCTGCCAGGCCAAGCCAAGAGCAAGAGCAAAGCTTCAGAAAGAAGAAGCACGGAAACCTCTGGGCGGCTAACCTCGCTGTAAGTGCAAGCCTGCGCAACTACGAGTTCACAATCCCAGGACAGTCAATTTCACAGCAGACTTGAGGTTTGACAGGGAGGCCATGCCAGCCAGTGAGCTGGGGATCGCATCTGGTCAATTTTGCGTTGGGGCTGGAAGCTCACGGACCTTGAGTCCTTCGTATCTCAAGAGGGAAGCTCCCGAGCCTTAGCCAACCCATGATCATGATGATGATAATGATGATGACGATGGTGATGGTGATGGTGATGAGAATGAGGATGAGGCGGAGGAGGACGAGGATGAGGATGAGGATGAGGTTGAGGTTGATAATGATGATGATGATGAGGCTGCTGATGATGATGATGGTGATGATGATGATGATAGAGCTGTTGATGATGGTCACTTAGAAACTCTCCCGCAACAGCTAGCGTCTAGCTGCAGGCGGTCTCTTGAAATGAGATCGGTTTTCTCTGGTAATCTCGGCCGGCCTTGACAGCGCGCTCTGCAGCTGCGGAGGCAGCTACAAAAGAGGTCATCGCTCCGTGGACAGGTTCTACATTGAACGCATGAATGAGGATTGACTCATTTGACTCAATGTGGCATATGACATCTCAAACATACATACATACATACATACATACATATATACATCCATACATCCATACATCTATACGTACCTACATAGACAGGCGAGTCGGCAGGTGGGTGGACGGGTGTTTATGCTTCGGTTCTGATGAGTGTTATGGCGTCGTTTGCTGCTTGGATCTGCGACTGCCAGCCTTTATGCCTTTATGCAGATGCCGCTGCCACAGAGGCCAGCACATGACTAGCTTACATATACGGGCCGAGAGCAGCAGGTGCTGTCAACATGTCAAGATGATTGTAGTAACTCATGCAAGTTTTCGTCTGTACGTCCCAGGTGTATGCATGCACACATGATACATATATATATACATATATATACCTGTATGCGTATGTACGTATCTCTGAGTGTATGTATGCCTGCATGCCTGCATGTATGTATGTCTGCAGGTATTTACTCATGTATGTATTATGTGTAAAATTTATGTATCTTTGCATACACATGCACAGACACGTATACATATATATATATATAACTAACACATATGTTGCTTCGTTTCAGGCAGAGGGAGAGAGGGGGAGACCGAGAGAAAAAGAGAGACAGAGAGGGAGATAGAGCGAGAGCTTGCGGGAGACAGGAGGGCAGGGGCATCGTGACCCTTGTTCGGTGGCAGCAGTGCGCTGTCCCTGTTTCGTGATAAACAAGCAGAGAGAGAGAGAGAGAGAGTAAATGAGTTCTACAGCTCGGTGCGATCCTGTATATACAGCTGCATAGCTGCAATTTCATGGTCATAACGCACACAAGCTATGACTTTCTTACTGTTGCAGCTGCTCTGGCCAATAGTCTGAGACTTCTATTGTTAGCACGAGCAGGGTCAGAGCAGCATTCTCGACATCAGAAGGGCTGTCAGTGTCAACACAGTGTTGCAGCTGCTACTCACTGGGTCTATATTGATTGGATGCATGTATGTGTGCGTGTGTGTGCGCGCACGTCTGTCTGTCTGTCTGTCC